CCCAAAGAAGTCAGAAGGAAGGGTGCCTTGGCCAAAGACATGCATTTGGACTTGGATTTTCCAGTTGCTTATAAGATGTCACAAAACCCAGCTGAGGCCCTCAGGCTAGGGGCATTCACGCTGAAGCGGTTTCTGCAGTAAGAAGACAGCTCAAAGGCAAACATTAAATTTTCAAGAAAAGACATTAAAATCTTGTTTCTTTTGGGGCAATCAGGATGGGACGCTTTTCTTGTCTTGTTGCTCTAATAAAATCAATATTACAGGGAAGAGATTGCCAGAGCTCCTGCCAGGTCCCCCACAGGGTAAACGGAGATGCACAAAAGCACGGGGAACTTAGCTGACCAACGAAAACAAGCACTTAGCCCTCCGCAGAGCTTTTATGCGGCAGACTTTCTGACACTTCACCATGCCTTGCATTAGACCGTCATCTGATTATCAAGGATTGGATCTCAGAAAAGCCTGGGAGAAAGCTGCATGTGTCCCTGTATTTTGACGATTTGGAATCCGGAGGAACGTGGAAACGCCAATGGCCAAGCCTCTAGAGAACGCGAAGAACTGGCGTGTACACACTGTGTCCATAGTTGGTCCCCTGGCCCCTGCCTGTGACCCTGGCCCCGCCAGGCCACCACTACCATCTGGCTGGCTCCCTTCCTCAGCCTCTCCCCAGACACATGCATGAGTCCATTCTGATTGGTTTCCGGGTTGTTCCACGGCCCCTCCTTTCTGGAAGGACGGGAATCAATATCAACATTGGAAAGGAAGAAAGAAGGAAAGGAAAAGAAAAAGAATGATCACCCCAGGGTGGCTGGATCCCCGTCAGAGGTCTGACTTTCAAGAACCAAGATTCATCACTTGGCGGTGGTGGTGGTGGTGGTTTTTCCCTGAGAAACTTGGCTTCCCTTTATTGTCATTTTCACCTAAAGGTGGCAGGCAGGGGTGTCTGGGCGGCTCAGTCAGTAAAGCGTCCTACTCTTGGTTTCAGCTCAGGTCATGATCTCCTGGGTCCTGAGACTGAGCCCTGAGTCAGACTCCAAGCTCAGCAGGGAGTCTGCTTAAGATTCTCTCTCCCTCTCTGCCCCTCTCCCCAACTTGTGTGCATGCACACTCTCTCTAAAATAAATGAAGCTTTAATAAAAGAAAAAAGGTGGCTGGAAGCCACTATGTCATATTCAGAAGACTTAACATACCAAGCACTCACGGCTTCTCTAACATCACCTTCCACTTCTGAACCGGATCTCAGGAAGGCAAGTCTTACAAGGCAGGTACCCTAACATGATGCAGGTAACAAGAATATGGACTCAACGGTCTTCCCAGCGTTAGATCAGTTATTTCAGGAACAAAGAGGAATTTTAATATAAGACCAAAGACCTTAGTCAAGTTTAGGATTTCCAGCTAAAACTTAAAAACAAACAAACACAGACCAAACCCAAGCAAAATTAAAATACAGAGTCATCATTCTCAAGTCTCACAATACAGCTAAAGATTTGTTTTTAAACTAATGGCAAATCAATGTAAATCAATGTTAAATGGCAAAGTTTTGAAGCTTAAAATGTGATTTGGTTCAATTTGTATCACAAATTACCAGACTGAGATTAAAAAAATTTTTGGTAAAATATTTCTTATAAATTCTGGCCTTTTGTAGAGCATCTTGTTATAAGAAAAACTCATTCGTTTTGTGGCATCCTCTCTCCGAAATATAATGAACTTCAGGCATTCCCTAACAGAACATGGTTGGTGACTCTTGGCAGGTGGAGAGAGGTTAAGCAAGAGGAGGTCTTTATGAAAATGTCTGCACTTCTATATTTTACTTATTTTTTTAAGTCAACTCTATGCCCAACGTGAGTCTCAAACTCACGACCCCAAGATCAAGAGTTGCACATTCTACTGACTGAGCCAGCCAGGAACCCCTCGAGCTTCTGTATTTTAAATTATGTGGTATAAGAAGACCACTAGAGAGAAGAGAAAACCCAGGATTCTGTCTTCAAAACTCGCCTTGGGAAAGAGGTCACCCCACCCCCTGGGTTATTTCTCTGTCTCTAAGAGATTGATCTTTTCAAATTCTAAAGCTCTACAAGTTTTGGGAATTCAAGTTTCTACCCATTCTTTGGGTAGAGGTTAAGAGGCAGTGTCTGGTTGACATCGTGAGACCCTGGAAAAAGTCCCTCCACTCTCCGTACCTTAGTTTCTTCATCTTCATCTGAGGTATGGGGCAACAGTACCCACACCTCCAGGGTGCCTGTCTGTAATGGCACCTTTCACTTAGTGGCTCTGTGTGTTGACTCTCATGATCGAAGATGGCACTTGTTTCTGATTCCTGGGGAGGCCAACAAAACGAAAGTATATTCTAGTACGGTTGCAATGGCCATTCCACTGGCCATGCCGTCTGCTGGATTCTTTTGACGCAAACCACCTCACTGATGAGGAGAACCACCACGAGAACCACCCCTGAAAATCAGGAATGACACCTGTCCTAGAAAACACACCACCTGTACTAGGGAGCCCCACTCACACAGGCAAACAGCCCTTTTGGACGGGGTCAAACAGGAGACTGTATAAGCTTGGATCACTAAGAAGGCTGATGAGTTGGGAGCCATGTGCATCTTCTTGATAGGTGGTAAAATCAATCCTGAGTCAAGCAAAACCCTCCAGGAGTTCACCAGGCTTCCAGATGTCCTCCACCTCCTAATGGAAAGAGTTTTAACTTCTTCAAACGTAAAATAGTGTGCTTCCTAATTATGTCATTTTGATGCACTGAATTGTAATTTCTGACTTAAACAGGCCCACACTGTGATCCGGGACCACAGGAATAGTTTCTTACTGGTGCAGAGGCATGTTTTTCTGGTTTTGTTCCTTTTCTTTGTGGGGGATACCCACCACCCTCAATGTGATTTTAAATTCGACCATCGAGGACTAGGTCTCGCCCAACTCTACTCACGTCGGAGGGTAGCAGCGCTATGAGGGACAGGAGTCTGGACCTCTCGGTACTTAATATTATCCATTTGTCAGGATATAATGCTAGCCTATTCCCCATTATATCCCTTCTTTCCAAACCGACCTGGTTTCTTGCGGACATAATTCACATCGTGGAATTTGCGGACCTGTCTGGTACCCACCGCGGTACCGGGAGGTCTCCCTCAATAGCCAACAGATGAGAGAGAATGAATAGGCAGCTGAGGTTTTCCCAGCCTGCTGGTAGGGCTGGGGGTGCCTGACAGGCGTTGGGGTACCCTGATAGAGTGGAGAGAGGCTAAGGGCAGAGGACACTGCTAGGAGCCCGGAGAGACTTGCGGTTGGCCTGGAGCGGGAGCGGGGGCTGCTGCTCTTCCCCATGGCAGGTGACCAACAGCCCTTGTTTGGAGAGCTGGAGCCAACAGGTTGCTCACCACCAGGAAGCAGGAAGCTGCCCCACTGCCAACATTGTCCTGCTTCCCACCTCTGTTGACTCCTGACATTACGCCTTCTGTGATGTCCAGCCCAGATTAAAACTCTTTCTGGGTCCTAGGGATTTCTCCTGCATCGGACAGATCACTTTAAACTGTAGATCATGACTGCCTCCCCTCGTGATGCACGGCTGGTCAACCTCGGCCCCAAGCTACTAGGCTCCGTACCCCCTCGCCACCGCCCCTTCCGCACAGGCAATTTGAACATGGAAGCTTCATTACGTATCACTCTGAAAGAAGGCAACAATAGCTCATGCTCTCGCTGTTGTAAAGCAAAAGCCTCCACCATTACATGCCTGTGTTGCTACCATTGATCACAGGGCCGCAACCAGAGGGAAGTAAATAAACCGACCCGGGTTAGTTTATGATGCGTACTATTGAGACGCAGGGCAGAATAAATATTTTCCAAGTGTGGAAGTCAAGAAAAGGAATTTTACTTTCAAACTTCGCAGTGTGCTATAAACTACAGAGGGAAAAAAATAGAAGACCCATAAACTATCTCTCACTTAACCACCAAATCTACATTAAAATATTAATATTCAGAATGTGACAATGCCACAAAGAAAGGCAATGAAAAAGGAAATTGTATCCAGCTCATGTCGCCCAGAGGCACCTTATTTTTTGCTGACGAGCACGAGATACGGACTCTGAGGCTGGGCCTTCCTGGCTCTCCCCTGTGCTTTGGTTGCCAACTCCCCCCGGTGACACCATTTCCTACTGGCCAGGAGTTCGCCATCTGGGGTCTAGAGGCCTGATCTGATGCGGAGTCGCAGTTCTGACAGGTGTGTCCGGCCCCTTTGTCACTGTACCATGTTCTGCCATCTGCATGATGGGGTGAGTCTTGATTCCTTACTCCGTTGGCCAAACCTGGATTTCCATATACCTACAATGTAGAGAGCTTCCAAGGTCCAAAGGGTCATGGTCAGGCTGTCTCGGCTGCGCTCACAGAGGCAGGTATGTGTGTAGTTGACCTTCACAGGTTTTACCGACACCCTATATTAAGGTCACCTGCAAAAGTAACGTGAGAAATGGTGGCCAACTGCATGTCAGCATTTCCTTCCTTACAACCTTCTCTCAAGGGCTTTGCTCTTTTGCCCAGGAAAAATGTAACCTCAGGTATAGATAATCTTTAGGACCCTGGAAATCCTATCCTCCCTGTCGACTAATACACGTGGGCCTAACAAAGCTTCAGTGCTTTCATTTTAGCTGCATATGGTACTGGGCTGATGGTCCTGATATTTATTTGCAGAAATTCTTGTTGGGCAAGAACACAACACTTCCTTCTTCTGTTTCAGTGACTTGGACAGTTGCTGGGGCACTTACTATGTGGGCAGCCAGAACTGCAAAGAACTCCCTTGGTTTACCTTCCCTGAAAGCATTCCTGTGGATGAATGTTTCTGATTTTCACCCTTATTCTGGTCTTAGTGGTTCTCCCTGCCCCTCGCATACCATCAGCACGGAGTGGAAATCTCTGATGTGGCCGTTACAGTAGACTCGATCTCTGTGGCTTCATGAATCAAACGGGCAGACTTTGGGTATGGTCATGGGCTGTACAAACGCCAACTGCTGTGATCACATCCTGCTGTGACTGAGGGTAAGGGCAAGCCTACATGCTTGCAAAGACCCGTTAATTCCTCTCTGGTCCTGTATAATCTCCAGTGATTGCTTCTGCTCCAGACTACAGGTTATCTTGAGGGTTTCCATAGGGAAATACATTCAGGACGATGTCTGACATGTGTTACCTGTTTCCTGGCTCACCTCTGGACACGGTCGTTCCTGCGGGTCTTACCTTGCCTTAGTGGGCCCAGGATGCTGCTTTGGAGATCAAAGATTCCATCCCTTAAGGGCCAGGACTGTGCCCTAACACTCCCACTCCCCATCGTCCTTCCCCCTAACATCTACTACGAACGCCCTACGAGAAGCCAACGGTCAGGAAACACTGCTCAGATCAATGAGTTAATGAATGAATGACTCACCTCTCTGCCGACTAAAAGAATGAAGACATTATCTCAAAAACAAACTATAAAGACCTCTCCACAAACCACAAGCAGTGTAGGATTTCCAGAACACAGGAGCCCTCCTTCGTGAGGCTAACATGAGAACGCACGTAAATTCTCTTGGAAACTGATCGTTAGTTAAGCTGCCAATCATCGTGGCAGCTATGCTCTAAATATGGCCTCTAACACCTCTGTATGCGTCTGCTCTTCTCCCATGAGAAGGTGGCGCTTACATCCTCTATCCTGGAGTCTGGGCTGGACCCTCGACTGTCTTGACCAAGGGAATGCGGCGGAAGTAACGTTCTTGAGCTTCAGGGCTCAGGCGTTAGGAAGGCCTAGAAGCTTCTGCTTCTTGCTGCTCGGCACCCAGTCACCATGTTGTGAGGAAGCCCAAGGAGCCCCGCATGGAGGATTCAGCTCTCGGGACCAAAGACCCGGCTGAGCTCCCAGCCAAGGGCCGGTAGGAGCTTGCCAGCCGTGGAGATAAACATTGTGGCTTTGGCTCCCCCAGCCCAGCTGAGCTTGCCTTAGCCAAGGCCATGTGGAAGAGAGAGGAGGCGCCCTGAGCAAATGGCAAAATCGAGAGCTAATAAATACAGGTGTGTTCAGTTATTAAATCTGTAGCTCGTTACAAAGCGATAGAGGTCAGCGGGACAACCATCTAGGTCGCTTCCAATGTTCAGAGCAAGGAAGCAGGTGTGCACCTGCCCGGGTAAGGTGCTCCCACGAGCTTCACCTCTGCTTTCTTGCCTCCGTGAGGGAATGACGGGGACCCTGAGGTTAGAGAAGGAACTCGACTGAAACAAAGATCAAGACTACCAACGGGAAAATCCTGAAATCGGAAAAATCTCGGCCAAAATAAGGAAGAGTTTTCCATTTGATGAAGCAGAAGAAAACTTAACATGACAATGTTAACGAAAGAATCAATCTGATGTCTCCCTTTCGTTTGGGAGGCTGCAAATGTTTGCAAAACTAAAAAGTCTTTAGTAATCCCTTCTTTTATCTAAAACAGATTGCCGTTTCAAGCACAGCCTCATGAAACTGCAGGTTCAAAGGAACCTGAAACCAAATTAGCATAAAATCTGGAATTCTCATTTCCACCAACTGCACAGCTGCCATCTGACAGCTCTTCTGTGATTTTTGGGTTTCAAACGGAAACTGAAAGTAGCTGAGGTGGCACAGGCCGGGGCTCCGTGCGTCCGTGCCCGCTCCCTTCCACGAGCTCACAGGTTCGAGAGTCTCCCTAGAACCCCGCGGGTCGGAGACGCCCCCGCCGTGTGGCGTGTGCCCAGCCAAACGGGGGGGGAAGCGGGGACAGTCGAGAAGGCAGGCAGGGTAGACAGAAAGACTTTGCTTCCACTTTGAGGGGTGTGAAATATTTATAAGTAAATTCACACAAATCAGAGTGAATCTGCTGGGGGGGGAGGGAGAGGAAGAACACCCTTTCCCAGTTTTTGCATCACAAATGCCAAGAAACCCACACTCCAGACACTTCAGTCTAAGCACCAGGGGCGCGCATGCGGACTCCCTCAGACGACTCCCTGAGCACTTCCAGAGCTTCCCCTTTAGGTAATGACGACTTGATGCCACTACATTTAATTCTGGAAAACCCAAGGGGGGCCGCTTTGCCTCCTGCTGAAATATCATCACCCCTGGGACAAAAAAAGTCACACTTCTTTTACAGAAAAGGGGGGAAATGAGATAAAGTGTATCTGATCCCCCTGACGAGTACAGGTGCAGGGAGAGGATTTTCTCCCCCGCTATTTGAGAGGGTGGATTTGCCCTGAGCCGTCCTATAAACTTCCTCCTCTGATCCCCACATGATCAAGTGCATGAATTCAAGTGACAGCTGGTGGGGCCACGACCACAGCACATGAAAAGCAGGCCGCGGCCTTGCAGGGAGGAGAGGCATGGCCTGCCCTTTCTCGCGCGCCTCTCTGTCCACTGTGCCTCACTCGGAGGCCATCTGCTCCCTCCCGAAGCTGGACGTGAACGTGAATGTGGACGGGGCAGGGGCCCGCATGGTGGGGCGTGGAATTCACAGGGAGGCCATCCTGGGCTCACTTTCGCCCAGGTCCACGCCTCCTTTGACGTTCCTCTACTGTTAGTGCACAACTTTTCACTTTCTCCAGGAGAAAAAAAAATTTAGTGAGCATCTGGTATTTACACAGAATCTTAGAGGGAGTTGACGGATTTAATTACAAGTGTTAGTAAAACAGGAAAATTGTAGCCAGGCTTTCAAATAGCCACTCGCCTGTAAGTGACAAGACTTCTTTGTGCCGCCGTTAAAGGACACGATTTACTTCCCAGCCAGGAGTTTTCTTGGAGACGGGGACACGGGTGAAAAGACAGCTGCTGGCTGGTAGCTTTTATTTTAATGTGCGACGCCGTCCTTCTTATACAAAGATTGCGCTTACAAACAACGTTCAGCGAGGCTGTGGGCTCAGGGTTTTTTTCCCGCTCGCACGGGTGGTGACGATTTCCTCTCTGTCACCCAAACCGGCTCACCACTGGCAGCACACATCTGTGAAAGGACTAGCCGGGTTTCCAGGCTCCACATAAGGCCGGGAAGACGACTGAAAACGGCTGATCTGCGCGAGGATGAGGACGGACCCGCTCCTCACCGGCAGCCGGCTCCGGCCAGTTTTAATGCTGGTTACAAGTCCTGGGAAGAGCATTGCACACGGGCAAGGTCAGCGCTTCCCGAGTCCTGGGCCAGATCGGCCAGGCCAGAAAACCCGGGTTTTAGAACAGGTTCCGTCCCTGCGGGTTGTGGCTTTGGGGAAAAGTCACAAACCCTTTCTTCTCCTCTAAAATGCCAAACAGGTTGGGAGGAACAGTCTCTCTCGCTCTCTTCCAAGATCCTGGGATTCTGTACGACCTGCTATCTAGATTATAAACAGAACAGCGTCTGCGCTGGAAAATAACATTTCCCTCTTTTCATTTTCTTGGCGTTTACATTACTAGTATCTAAGTAGGACATACTGCTTGAGTTATTTTTCCTGGGGTTCCCCCCAGGCTCTTAGAATTTCCCGATAAATCAACAAAACGTCCGACCATGCCCTGTCCGGTTTGCATTTAATGCTTCCAACCGGTGAGTCCCACGTAACGTCCTCATCAAAACAGTCAGAGCACAAGTGAGCCTCTCAGGCCCTGGGCCTCTTGTCCCTGGGTACCGTGGGCCCATTAAACACATTTGTCAGCTTTACGTTTTTAAAAGCAAAACCAAAAGGGTAAATGTGTCATCACATACTTTTTAATCTGAAATCCACACGGGAAGGAGTTCAGAGAGAGAGAAAGAAAATACACCCTCCCCTAAGCTCCTCTCACACACACACGCACACCCTTCCCCGCCACCGCACACTCATAGGAACGGGCTTCATCTTCATCAGACCATTTCCGGGGCCGAGGCACGTGAACACCACACTGGGAACCAGCGCAGTCATTTCTGACACTCCACAATCAGATGAAACAGGCCCTGCGCCGGGCCTGAAAGGAAGAGGACCACATGTCTCCCCTCTCAGGACTTTTTCTTTCTTTTTTTTTTTCTAACAGGGAAGTTTGGCTTGGAAAGAACTTGTTGCACAGACACATGTGGGCTCAGCAGGATGGATCCTTAACGGAGGAGACAGATTCCAGATTCAGGCCCGCTGGAGCAGGGCTTAAATCCTCCGAATTTGGTAATGGAAAGTTTGGGTCACATTAAGGGCTGTGGGATCCGGGGGTAAGATTTAGTTCTAAATCAGCCTCTTGAGCAGCCCCCTAAGAAGCACCATATGTCTCTGATTCTCTCTTGGCGCTTTCCTTTTGAGGGACCAGAAAACCCCTGGCTTCAGACCGTTTCCCTGGGTATTTAATGATGACTCCCATCCTTAGAATGGCTTTTTCTTTTTAAAGCTCTTTCCAAATGTTTCCCAATTTTTCATTCTGAAAAGTCCCAAACTTCTAGAAACGATGGAAGGATGGTCCAAACAACACCCACACCACCTTCATTTCTGTTCCTCGACTAACATTTTGCCCCAATTACTTTCTCTCTCCTTACTCTTGACACACATGCCAAGGGGACAGTGTCCATGCACCTACCCGGTCCCTTAGGGTTGGTGTGGGAGAAAGGCATCTACCCCAGATTGCCTTCTGGCACCTTCCTCGTGGCTGCTTATCTGAGTGGCAACGTCTAAGACCCTGATTGGGTCACGTCCACTGGTGGACCGGGTCCCTGTGACCTGAACCCCACCCTCCCAACGTGTGTTTAGAAAGTCTGCACACGCTGGGTTCCTCTTTGTGCTTCCAGGACTCACGAGGACTCCGCTCCGCTGAGGCGGCCTGGATACAGCTTTGGGCTCGGTGGCCAGTCAAGAGGGAAAGTGGGCTGTGGGGAAAGGAGCGGCCTGCTCTCCTGCGGGGGTAAAGGCCCTTCCTCATCCGCACGGAATGCAGATGGGCTCGTCGGGGGCCCGCAGGCATTCACCCAGCTAACCACCTGGCATAGTATTGGACGTTCCTGTCCCCGCTTCTTCATCTCCAGGATGGATGGATACTGGGCCTACTTCAGCGTCGCTGAGAAGTCAGTGACCCGCACCCCGCGAGCGCACGGTCGACAGAGCTGGAACTCTTGTCCCAGATGCTCCTTCCAGGCCTCCCTCCCTCAGGTGCCCCTCTGAGGAAGAGCTGACAGATGAGGTGCGACGTGGACGGACATCTGGCCTCGTGAGCCTCTTAATCTCGTCAAAGCCTGCTACATGCGCCATGCTGGATGGCACCTACACACGCAGAGCGGCCTGGGCCAGGGAAGGAGCCACGGCGAGAGGGATGGCAGCTCGGGAGAGCGTCAGGACAGAACCAAGGAAGGGCAAGAGGCTCCGGGGGGCGGAGGGGACTCAGAAGTGGAAAATGCACAGGAGGCCGGGGAAGGACAAGGCCCGAGAAAGGACGGACGGCGGGTAAAGCGGCAGGTCTCCAGGGAACGGCCAGAGATGCTGGACCACGGACGAGCGAGTGAGTGGGTGATGGGGCAAGAGCACAGAGGTGGGACCTACGGACGACAGTGCGAGGAGCCATGGAAAAGCCCGAGACACACAGTGCCAGAGTCCGACTTCAGTGGTCTGTGGTGGACAGTGGTCTGTGGTGGACAGTGGTCTGTGGTGGACAGTGGTCTGTGGTGGACAGTGGTCTGTGGAGGAGGGCAGGAACATGGTCCTCACCCTTCCGACTGCCGCCTACAATCTACTCTGCCCGGAGGCTCGCTCTCCCTACAGGATACCCCCGCCTGGGGACAGTGTACACTGACGCACATATACACGTGTTTCTTCATAAAGAGAAGCAGCCATTCACGCCAGATCAGCAGTAAATGATCGCAATGTCCCGTATTTTGCATTCACAGACCATTTTGTCCACGAAAGCCAATGGAAGCACGAGGAGAAAGAGACCCAGAAAGCATCGTGGTACTTGGAAAACGTGGCTGCAAGTCCTTCCCGTCAAGATGTGGAGGCTACTCCCCTCCCCCGCCCTGAATTTGGCAAACTCGTGAGAGCTTTGATTCGGTGGCAGAAGTGGTACCATTTCCAAGGCGAGGCGAGAAGAGGCCTCACTGCTTCTGCCTCTCAGGAAGCTCCCCCCCAACCCAGCTGCCATTTTGAAATGGCCAAGCCACAGGGGAAGGACTCGTGGAGGTCCCCCCACGGAGGGTCCCAGCCAAGCTCGGCCCGGAGTCATCCCCACCCAGGCACGGGACATGGGAGGGAAGTGCTCTCTGGATGCTTCTAGCCCCTGGAATTCAGATTCGAGTCACCCGGACACCCTGGAGCAGAGACGAGCCGTCCCGGCTGTGCCCTGTCCCAATTCCTGACCCACCGAACCCGTGAGCGTAATAAAGGGGGGATGGTTTCACACCGCTAGGTTTTGGAGTAGACAACTAGAACAAACACAACTTTAAACACGGATTTCCCACTTTGTCATGGGCATTTGCCATAATCAAGCCCTTCATTTCTGAGGCTGTTTCTATGATTGGGCACGGGGATGGGGGTGGGGATTAGTGTGACAAACCCCCGTAGCCCAGGCCACACCGGAGGGCTGTAGGAAGCTTACTGATGGGACAGTAATCACCAGTGTGAATTGTAGGGGTATGGGAGGTAAGTCCCACTGCACACCGGGGGATCTTATCACATCACTTTTAAGAGAATCAACAAATGCAAAAGAACTTGATAAATATTTTCCATAACAAAACACAATTGGTTGCAAAGGGATCCAGCTCGGTTCCTCATTAGTTCTCCCTCACTTGTCAGACAAGCTCGGAGCTCACCGAAACCCACTGTGGATTCTTCATAGCTTGCTGGGAAATGGGACTCTACATTTCCTTCACAGCGCATGTTTCTGGAGCCCGCTTCCACATCTGGAGTGCGGGCTTGGCTCCCTCTTCCCCGGGGGAAAGGAGCGTCAGCTTCCAAAGAAAGGGAAGAGCGGGTCACCGTGGCGGCTTTGGAAGTGGCCGAGGGGCAGAGGGGGTGGGGAAGGCCAGGCTGCCATTATCAGGGCTGCCAGGTGCCCCGGGATCACGGTAGGTGATAACACACTTGGCTGACATCAGAAAAAAGAACCATCATTCCTCTCCCCACCCTCACTCCCTCTTCTTCTTCTTTTTTTTTTTTTCAAGGAGGCTTTTTACCCTCATTAAATGAAACCTTATCTCTGAAAGACTGCGATCCTCAGCAAATGACAAGTGAGCCTAATCTCGTTTTCTGACAACTGATTCTTGACAGTACCTTCCCTTTGATTTCTGAGACACGCAGTTAGACGTGTATTAATCTGTCAGTCATCATCCCTAGGAAGAATAAAAAAAAGAGAGAGGAAGAAAGAAATGAACATTTGTGAATATGAAGGCAAGACAAGGGGCGAGAACACCTATTTTAACTGATGCACGAACATTCCTTTCTCGCACAGCCCCCGCCCATCGGGCTCGGGGAACACCCCCGCAGGGGAGAGGCAAGCCGTCCAACCCAAGGGCCTACGGAAGAGGCAACCCCAATCGCAGGCAACTTGGTCCGGCGGAAGGGCGTGCGCCCTGGAGTGCTGCGGCCCGGGTTCAAACCCAGCCCCACGTGGAGGTCACAGGGAGATTGAAGATCTTTAGTCTCTGCGCGTCAGAACCCTGCCTGAAGGATTCGGCTCATGGCTTCTGCTGGCTGCAGAGAGTAAAGAATCTTTATCTACTGCACAGGTGGGCATAAAGTCAGCACCCAATCCAGCATTTCCGGCGGGAACACTACCACTGCTATTTCTGCTCGGGTCTCCCGCGGAGATGCTGAACAGGGAAGCAGGAAGAAATAAAGGGTACACCCCGTTCCTCAAGAGGTCACGCACGTAGAAGGGATTCGAGAACTACACGGCAGCGCTCACAGGGACCGCCAAGGAGAACCCCATAAAAAATGGCGCCACATGACTCTGGAAAACTCAGACTCTCATGCTGGTTGCTCCCAACCCACGCTCAAGATCTCAGACACACGGCCACCCCTGCCTCTTTGCGTACTCCGGAAGGAGATTCTGAACTCTGTGTCTGAGGCATTTGCAAACGGGAGCGCACGTGTGCTGTTTGCTTGTTTGTTTCCAGGGATGGGGGAGTCACGGAACCATATCTGTCTTGGGATCCCCATGGGGTGAACCAAGTCCGTCTGCCTGGCTGGCAGAGTAAAAGAAACGGGTTATTTTCGACCAAATGTCATGAGTCAACACCTGCACTGGGAGCGGTCACCAACAGCAGTTTTTTTATCTTTTCATACAGAGACGGACAGAGAAGGGCCTCCAGCCTTACCTCCGAGCTAACGGGGCACGAACGAGCCAGGCGCTCGAGCTTCTCTGCAGAGGGCACGCCCGCAGATTCTGGGGTCGCTGAGCCTGAAACCGATCCCGAGAAGTCCTCCCCAGGAGTACCCCTCTCTGAGACAGGCCTCTGGGTTATATGCCTCAACCCCCGCCGCGCCCCCACCAGGTGGGACAATACGAAACACCGGAGTGCTCTCTCCCGGCCTCTGCCGCATTGATTCCACCTGCCGGGGCCGTTATTAGGTAAACGTGCTTCGTGCTGCCACGAGAGGTCACAACACAAAGGGCTGGGGAAGAGGAAGGAAAACGAGGAGTCTACGGAGTCACTGGCACCCACTTCTTAGGGACAAAGTGTTGTTCTGTGAAGAACGGGCACTTCCCGGGACACCTGCCATCCCTTTCTCTGCTCTCCTCCTTCCTGTTTCAGCAACTGAATCCTTGGCTGCCGGTCTGTCTGCACGGCTGATGCAGAAGGAAGGAGACAGAGGTAGCACCACAGTCTGCGCTCTGCTGCGGTTAACGAAGACCACGTGAGACAGGACAGAAAGGGAAGAGGAGACGATCCGTGCTCAGGTGAAGTTCTTCTGCACACCAGCAACGGGGGACACGACCTTCTTCCCTCCTCCTCCTCCATCTCCCTCACCCATCCCTCTGGCACTGTGCCACCTGGATCGTCATGGGCGCCAAAGAAGAAGGAGTCCCCGCACAGGGGTGGAAACACAATGGAGGAAAATCCCTGGAGGAAAAGGCAACAGACTTTTGGTTTTAGCAAGAATGAACTAAAAAGTCTCCAAACCAGCGACTTGGAGAAATGTGATCTTTAGGTAACTGCTCCACATTTGCTAAGACTTCATAGGTCCCGGGAAGACAGATCAACGGGACGCATGACCACGCCACTCGCAGGTCATGTCCACTGCGGGGTTACACCGGAGATGCACACGGGGCCATGCTGGGCGCCCCCAACAAGACCTAGGAGTCCAGAGTCCTGGTCTGCATTCCGACCATGCCTATTGCTTCTGCGCTCTGGGCCTGTTGTGATGCTGGTCCTTCTCAGGATTTGTGGGATGAAGGTGAAGTTGAAAAGCACTCCATCAGGGGCGCCTGGGTGGCTCAGTGGGTTAAGGCCTCTGCCTTCGGCTCAGGTCATGATCCCAGGGTCCTGGGATCGAGCCCCGCATCGGGCTCTCTGCCCCACGGAGGGCCTGCTTCCTCCTCTCTCTCTGCCTGCCTCCCTGCCTGCTTGTGATCTGTCAAATGAATAAATAAAATCTTAAAAAAAAAAAAAAAGAAAGAAAAGCACTCCATCAACTCCAAAAGGAGTTCTGGAGTATATGTATATAAATGGGTATACGTTTGGTATACATTTAAGTGTTGAAACACTGGGTGTTACTGTTCAAAAAAAGTTTCCAGAACTTGAGAGGTTATTTTATAACAGAAAAATTACAATTAAAAAATAATTAAAAACGGGTGCCTGGGTGGCTCGGTCAGTTAAGCGTCTGACTCCTGATTGCAGCTCAGGCCTTGATCTCAGGGTTGTGAGCTCAAGCCCCCTGTTAGGAAGCCTACTTAACAACAACAACAAAAACCTAAAATATAGAGAGTGAGGCCACAGAAACTGAACAGCCCAAGAAACTGCCTGAACTCATGGCTGAAGGACCTAGAGTGACCCCAGTTCAATCCAAGTGACCGTAGTGTGATCTCAGGGAGTCAGGATCCCAATGTGATTAGAAGTAAGAAAGCT